GGTTTTTAGAAAAGTGTTTGATACACTTAGGAGAAAGTTTTAGTGTATTAATAAATCGGCCTTGAAAAAGACGGAGTCGATTTAAACATAGTGTTAGTGCCTTTGAGAGAGAAAGTCATTCAGTGACTTCTCCCGCCCAGGTGAGACGAGAGGGAGTGTGACTCTTACTGACTAAAAACTACCCCGATCCTACTTCTCTTCGAGCCGTATCCCCGGCAACCCGTTAAGTCCTCCGCGGCTTTTTATCCTGTTTGGTGATCAATTTTGATTTGGCTTCTTTACTTTATTAAACTGTCAAACACCAAGCAGTCACCGGTGACCGCGACCTATTGTTCTTTAATTGTGTCTATAAATACGGTACTCGACGAGTTAAACGACGCCTATCTTTTGTTTATGCGAAAAACCTGACCATAATATATCCAGAATAAATAACAGAATCTATTGTAATGATTATTATTTATTGTCGAACTGATGATCATAGGTTTCTTTACGTATGTTTTAGTCCCACTTCTCGAAACGCGATATTATGATGTTTGCAAAATTAAATCGTAAAATTTTACGCCTCTTTGAAACTATTATTAAATTACCGAGGACGATCATTTCTAATAATAGTAATATTTTGCTTTTTAACTTAAACCTTGAATGTCAAAATTTGAGTTCAAGGTAGGACGTAAATACCAAAAAAGTAACAATTATATCATCTTTTGTTACATCACAATCAAAGCAAAGGTTTTTTGAACTTAGTATTAAAAAAAAACTTTTTTAAACTATTTTAATTATAAGATCAAGGCGAATCATAAACTGACAAACAACTTCTTTGCACGTGTGTCAAAATCGAGGCAAAGGTAACAATGTTTTTCAGCCTCTAGCCACGAGTTAAATAAAAAAAAAACTTAAAATAATAAAACATGTGTTGCCAAGTCTCGTGTTTTAATTATTTTTAAATAAAAGGTTATCTATGTTATGTAATATAATAGCTACGTAAGTTAATGAAAAAATATTATGATAACATTTTTGGGTAACAACAAAATTTTAGTAGGTTTTAGATTTACTAAGAACTTAGATTATTTAGGAGGTTGATTTTTAAACATACAGACACATTATCTATAGTATACAGATATTTAAAATTGGAGTGTCTGTTTGTAATATTAAAGTAACCGGTTTTTATTACATGCATATGAATATACAAACGATACACATACCAAAATAACATTTATTACCATTTTTGTCCGTCTGTCTAATCTCTGGAATGGCTAGACCGATTTTGACAGGAATTTATTGGCAGATAGCTAACGTACTAAGGAGTAACATAGGTTACTTTTATTTTGGAAAATTGAAACATAAACAAATTTATAATCTCAATTGATATTCTATGCGAATGAAGTCACTTCTTAACAAAGAGAGCATCATCATCATAACATCACGTCTTTTATCCCCGAAGGGGTAAGGCAGAGGTGCACTTGATGCCACTTTACACAATGTAACACCCACTTTCCACTATTTATGTTATGAGTTGCATGTAATAGGGAAACATGTAATAGTAAAATAAAATAGAGCTTTGACTGTAAAAGGTTTTTTTCATAAATAACATTTTTCATTCATTTATGTTGCTAAATAGCCTCCTGTAGATGAGTAGTATTTTTACGTTAATTGAACGAGTAAGTAGTAGTCATTAAATGGGTTTGACCATACATATAATAAAGAAGTTTGGCATAATCACTACATAGCATAAAACAAAGTCGTTATCCGCCGTCTGTCTGTCCCTATGTATGCTTAGATCTTTAAAACTACTCAACGGATTTTGATGCGGTTTTTTTAATAGACAGAGTGATTCTTAAGGAAGGTTTATATGTATAAAACATGCATATTGCACCCGTGCGAAGCCGGGGTGGGTTACTAGTATTCGATATAATAACTCGAAGCTTGTGTCAAACCTGTAAATGCCATTATGTTTAGAGAATTATCATTCATATTCTATCGTAAAAATTGTCAATTTGAAATCTGTATTATGAATGGAAATTTTGGAATAAACACACAGCTGTTTCATGATAAGATTAAATTGTACCAAAATTAAATTAAATTAATAAGTGAATTAAATTTTATTATTATATTTTTATTTCAAGTCTTATAGTTGACCTCTTGATATGTGTAGTAGGAACACAGATAATATAATATATATTCATATACATATATATAATTATTTATCTTGGCTGAGAGCTGACTGCCTCATTGGCCGAGTGGTCGCAAGTACGACTGCCGTCCATCCAGACCAATCCCATGCCAGAGATTATAAGTCAGAAGGATATCATGTACCTATAAAGATTTGTTTTTGCAAGCAACCCTCGTGGAGTCAATATTAAAAGTATCATCAAAATCTGACCAACAGTATCGTAACGTAGAGAGGACAAGCATACAAACGTAGATTTTGATGCACTCGTATATAATATTTCCTGGTTTGTATAGTTAATAATACATACATAACAAATATAACATCACGCCTTTTTATCCCCGAAGGGATAGGTAGAGGTGCACATTACAGCACTTTATGCTACTGTTGGTACAATGTAACACCCACTTTTTGACTATTTATGTTATGAGCCCCATGTAATAGGTAAGGGTGAGCCTATTGCCATATACCGGGCACATTACCAGACTCCGTGCTACTACTGAGATTTTTAAAAAACTCAGTAATATTTTGCCCGATCGAACCCGAGACCCCTTGCCCGGCAGTCGCACTTGCGACCACAAGGCCAATGAGGCAGTTAATAATGTAATTGATATAAATATGGAAACATAACGAATAATCAATCGTTATTTAATTATTATTCCTGATCTGACTTATGATTATATTATTATTATATATACATAGTTTAATTAATAATTACTTCACGTAACGAAACGGATGTATCTTGGGTTATCAAAGTAATCTACATTACCTCTATATGAGCGTATTTATTTATGCGGACTAATATGTATTATAAAGTTGTAGTTTGTAAAAGATTGTCTCATTCACCGAGTGGTCGCAAATGCGAAAGACTGCCTATGGTCGTAAATACGACTGCCGGGCAAGGGGTCTCGATTTCCAGGTCAGACAAACTACTACTGGGTTTTTAAAAAAAATCTAAATAACATGGAGTCTGGAATTGTGCCCGGTATATGGCAATAGGCTCACCCTTATTACATGGGACTCATAACATAAATAGTGAAAAGTGGGTGTTACAGTGTACAGTGGCATTTAGTGTCGTAATGTTCACTTCTGCCTATTCCTTCGGGGATAAAATGCGTGATATTATGTTAAGTTGTTATGTGTTAGTTTGTAAAACTGTTTAATTAACAGTTGAGAAGTTAGAAAATGTTTTGTTTTGCTTGCAATTTTGATTATATATAGGTAAAAAAATATTTTATATTAGTTTATATGCTTGGTCTGTGTGACCAAAGGAAAGAATAGCCTGTATCACTTTTCAGCCAGCTAACTTCGATTAAGAAATCATAAATGTAAAAACGCTTTAGACCTATGTCAAAAAAAAACACAATTTCGCATTTGTAAGATTACTATAGAAATATTATTTTATATTTCACTACAGAAAGACAAAAAAAAATATTCCTGATTCGAAATTCATCAAAATTAGTGAAGCAGTTTCGCATGAAAACCTAAACAAGTAAACTCAATGTTTATCTAATACTAGGTGGCATGGCAAACTTCGTATTGCCTAAAAAACCTTCCCTGGATTTCCATGAACATTTCAAGACCAAAATTATCCAAATCGGTTCAGCCGTTTTCGAGTTTTAGCGAGACAAACGAACGGAAATTTTTATTCATATAGATAGATTTAGTAAAGTATTAAACTGTCAAACACCAAGCGGTCACCGGTGACCGCGACCTATTGTTCTTTAATTGTGTCTATAAAACCGGTACTCGACGAGTTAATAACATGTGTATAATATTTATTATCTAAACCGTATAGGTCTTTAGAATAGTTGGTTTAAGTATATGTATATAGATACTATTATATATGTGGTAAAAGGTTTCGTTGTCAAAGCAGTTTGGCATATAAGTATTTTATCTCAATAAATAGGAGACAAGATAATGATTAAGTAATTTTAATGACTTTAGCCTAAGGTTGGAGTTAGGGAGTGCCCGAATAATTATGACACAATGTCTGCCCAACAACGTATCGAATTCACTTTAGACCATTAATGTCAAAATATTGTTTTAATTTTTTATGTTAATTGTATGTATTCGATATTTATTTCTATATCGTGTTATTCAATATGATCATATAAGTTATAAAATAATTAAAACAATCAAATCATAATTAAATATATCAACGATAAAAATAACATTCGCATTGTTGCTTATACACTTATCAATATTATTATTTTATTGTTATTACCAATGGCGTTAATCTTTATATTGTAGGTAAAGTATAAATTTTATTATTAATTATAAAAACTTAACGTAATGTTTTTATCAAACTAATTTAGTTCTAATTAATACTTATATTTTACACTTATATTTGTACTTATATTTTATTTATACTTATACTTATATTTTACTTATACATGGATGTGTTACGAAATAAATTCTAGAAGCAATAAATTATTAATTTAATATAGAAATATTGTTTAATGGTTAATGATCATTTCATTTCTATTTATAAGTTTTAAATTCAGAAAAGAAAATGAAATGTCGTTATTTTAATATCTTTCTAAACAGAATATAGCTACAACAAAATAATAGGTAATAAAAATCTATTGCTATTTGAACTGAAGAGAATTTAAAATTCTAGATATTGTCTATTAACTAACAATTATAGATACTACCAATACCATAAAACAAATTAATAATTGCGATAGAATCATAAACACGCGACTACGATATTTAATAACAACTACTATATCCGTTCATTCATTAAAATAGTTTCAAGTACACGAATAGATTAGCTTATTTTTCTAAAGGACAAAATGGCGACAAAATAAAATAATATAAAAAGACTCACCGTTGCCGTTTTCGGACTTCTTCTTGGCCACAATTACTCCATTGTTCTCGATGGTGGTAGAAACTCCGTTAAGCTCCCTCATTTTCACGAAATAGGAATTAAAAAAAATAAAAAAGAAGGACTGTTTCGCGCGTTTTTAAACGTCACTTTGACACTTCGGGTTCGCGCCAACTGCTGCACACGTCTATACAGCCAAGGTAACCGCGATCGGTATTAAAAGGAGAATTCTAAAAGGACTAGGTTGTGAATTGTTAAAAAAAATATTGTACGGAGGTGTCGTTTCGACAACGACGTATGCAGAAATGATCGGTACTGCTCTAAAGTTTCTTATATTTATACAAAAAATACGGCGGTTTGTGTTACAGTTAACATTGTGTAAGAATCGTAGTTAAAACCGAGTCGGTATTGTTGATTTTTTTAGTTACACAATATATTTTTTTGATTGCGAAATTTTTATCTTTGGCTAATTAATAGCTTAGATGATTTTTTGTTGTTAATATATTTTTTATCTTGGCCTTTGTTCCCTAGTGGTGACCGATAAACGGTACACGAGGGACTTAACGTGATGTACGAAACATATCCGTATACAAACCTAAGAGATTAAACGTGAAAAATATGTTTAGTAATCAGGTCATGATTGAGAAGAGCTTTTGTCAAAATTAACGGTCCTAAGTTATAGTGCGTAGTATTTGGAAAACTTATTCGCGGTTAGTCAAATTTTTATGCGTTTTCACAGTTTAAATGCTTCATAAAAACATTTTGACATTTCTAAACGACTACACCAAACTGGACAGTTTTTATTGTGTTATTATTAATGCCTGGATGAGATTTGTATGTTTGTATTAAAACAAATTGAAAAATAAAGTCGAAAAATAGTGACTACGTTAAGATAGGGAACAGATATACACAAATCCACATGTTTAATTGTTTATCTATGTGAATGGAATTTTTTATGCATCGTCACAAATTATAAGGACAAGGTTTGTCTAATTAATAAATTTTGGAAAAACCGCGGGAAAATAACGGGGATTTGCATCCATGGGTGCGTCACAGAAACGTCATGCTTAGAAACGTCAGTATCTTCTTTTTTTTCTTTGTTTTATGACAAGAGTTAATAATTTAAATTTGAAGATCCGGTTCCCATTCAAGAAAAAAATAAATAAATATAGATTAAAGATTTTTTTTTAAATCGATTTTAACTTTAGTTTATTAAGATTTTGTGAGAAACGTACCTATGTCGATATTGTGAAAGTTAAGTTAATTATTAATTTTGACTAATTTTTTTTTAGGTCAAATAATATTAAATACAGTACCTATGTATTTATGTAATTAGTGCAAAAATTAACTAGGTAAATACACTTGATTCATATTTTTTCGACGCCATTGTTTGTTTTGTCTTTTACATTTTATTATATGTGTTGTCTTATATAATATTAATTTATTTTTAAATTGTAAACATTTAACCTCGTACATATAGATATAGAACTTTTGATTAATTAAATTACTAATTCTATATTTAATAACCAAATCAGTTGGTTCATAAATAGCTAACTGTTAATTAACTAAATTCTTTGGAATGTTGTTGTTTTTTGACATTCGTTCTTTTTTAATTTCTGTCAAAAACTTAGATGAATCCAGAGATTTTTTTTATTTAAATTAACCGTTGCCACAGTCTAGGATTTCCTCCTGTGTCGTGGGTGCGTTTACAAGCATACAATTTCACATACACATGACACCCAGACCCGAAACAACAATTTGTGGATCACACAAAGATTTGTTTGAATGAAGTTTCCCATGGGGTAGGCAGAGACTATGGAACTAATAGGTTTTCATATTACTGTATTTAATCGGTTTTTTAATTAACAGGAAACCACTGTCATCACGAAGGAGCTATTTGTAATCCAACGGATTATTTTTATAGTAATTTTCCTTAAAATACCTTTTTGTTTCTTAGTGTACATATATATAATTGTGTTATATAATATTAAACTATCAGCATGACCTGTTTGTATACAAAACCTCTAAATATACGCTTTTACGTATGATTTATTTAGAGGTGTTTTAAGGAAGGTTTTTAACCTTCCTAAAAACTGAACACCATTAATGGAAACTGTATGCAAATCTGTTCAGTAGTTTTTGAGATAATCATTGATCATACAAACATACAGAGATAAACATTAAATCTTATAATAAAAATGTAAGTTTATAAATTTAATATACTTTAGGCCGTTGCCAATTGATTGTTTTGAACTGAAAGTTCATTACAAATTAATAATACAATTATATATTAATTACTAATTATGATGCTTCATTAAACGCGATAAAGAAATTAAACGAATACCGAGATTCTATAATATCTATATATTATATATATATAATTATTATATGCAATCGTTGGTGAGTCAAAACTATACATAGAATATTTTTTTTAAAGAATACTTAGGGCGTGATCTACAATCGATATCGAAGCCAAGTTTCTAGAATTTTGGTCCGTTTGTGTGTATATATTGCCGGGCTAAACTCAGGAAGAACTTCATGGATTTACTTCACATTTTGCATAAATATTACTAACAGGTCAACAAATAGGATGTATATGTTATCACGCTATCTGGGGAGGAGCTGTGAATCTTTATTTTGCAAAAATCTCAAATTCTTGCCATAAGTCATTATTACACGCGGACGAAGTGGCGGGATATATAATAAATTATATTACTCATACATAAGTTATGTATAATAAGTTCTTTATCTCTTTCTATATATAATTATAATTTGTATACATTAAGCAAAGAAAATAGGCAATATTTCATTGGCACGTTTTTGTATATTTTTATAAAACCAGTATACTAAAATTAATGATGATTGTGATCCTTTTTGGTCTTATCCGAAATATTTGTTGGTCACGTTTTTGTATCTAAATTACTAAACAGATGTTTGAGAAGATGTGTAAGTCATTAGGTGTGATGTATCTTTTCCCAGATTGTAGTGCGTAATAGTTCACTATTGAATTATAAGTCTGCATGAACTCATATCTCGACTATTACATTTTTTTTAAGGGGGGAAAATCATCGTTTGGCTGCTCCCGCCTGGGTGAGGGAGGGAGTGTCAGACTCTTACTGTCTAAAAACCAACCCGTTCCTTCTCCTGCACGTCGAGCCGGAGCCCCGGTTACCCGTTAGGTGCTCCGCGACCGACTATTACAATAAGGGTCGATTTTTCAATCATCACTTAATTCTTGACTGTAGAATAAAATTGACATTTGATAGTATTGAAGAATTGTCAAATAGGTATACTAAGTTATTCCTTAAAAAAAAATTATCTGGCTTTGGAAAAATCGGTCCTCAGAGGGTTTATAACTATCAACGCAGTTTAACGGTTCAAAGGGTTTAGCACGAGTACCGCTACGTTCTCTGCTAAATTCAGAGTGACGTGCAGAAACACGAACCCTCGGAAGCGTAGGCCTTGTGTACAAAACCCTCCTTTTAACCTTTAGAACCCATCCCGGGTTCGTCCGCCCCGTTCAGGAATTCGCTACAGGCAGTCACTATAACCATGTCACCCCTCCACGGATGGGGCCCTATAGGGCTGATGCCGATACGGAGCCGCGGAGAACTTAACAAGTTACCGGGGCTCCGGCTCGAAGTGCAGGAGTAGGGACGGGGTGGTTTTTATTCAGTAAGAGTCTAACACTCCCTCCCGCCTCACCTAGGCGGGATAGCCATTCGATAATTTTCCTCCCTTAAAAAAACTCTGTCACTCTCGTTAGGGAGACTATCACCTCTACCCAAGGTTCACCACGGGGAGCTTCACCACGCTTCTGACACCGGACCCTTGTCTTGCTGGGAGGTGTAGAGGTAAATTGTTTTCAACACAGACATCACCATCAGTGTTGTACTAAAGACGATTGGCTAAACGTGTTCTAAATAGTTTCTATATATTTATTTAGAGACTATTCTCTTAACAGTTCTTTGGTCGAAAAAATTGTTGCTTTTTTGGAAAATAATTGTGCCTATTATTATACATACACGTGTTGGATTCCATGAGTTAACAAAATATAGTTGTCTGACAGCTATATGTCAATCACCTTTCATAATGCTGACCAGTTTGATATAATTATGTAAGTATATATATAGCTTACATATGTATATATATATTTATACCTATTAATAAAGTTTTTAAATAATTAACATTTTTGGTTTTATTGACTAAATTGTGAGTTCCACTGGCGATTACTTCGATGACTTGGTAGTGTATATTTAGATTTTGGAACTCGAGGATGTAGCTAGCCTATGCTAGGAGTTGTCTCGGAGGGAATCGAACTCAAAACCATGGAAGTCAGACTTGCGGCAGTTTAAAAAAAGTTAAAGTAAGTATGTTAATACTTGCTGAAAAAGAGAACCTCTTGCTTTTTGAAGTTGGTTAAAAATAGGTGTAAGTATCTTAAGTACAGTAAGAAGAATTCACCTTCTTTCTGACACCTTAGATAAATAAATTGAAGGCATTATATTACCTTTTATATTATTATTCTTTATTAATCATCGCTTCGACTAATAGTCTCGGCTACCAAGCGTGAAGTCCTTGAATCGATTCACGGGTAAAGCAAACTATTGTTATTTGCTTTTTTATATGAAATTCTCAGTAGTTATTGAAGTTTAAGAATTTGATGTAATGTACACGATTGTGAATCATGATTTGTCCTAGGTTCGATTGTCAGATGAAGACTGACGTTCCATGTTTAGGAATGGGTAAGTAGAGGTATGACACAGTACAAAATGTAAAAGAAAGAAAATTGGGACTATAAGAATACTTTATTTGTCAAGGCCATTGAAAATGAGACTCGAGAATTGACAATTTTATTGGAGGTACTAGAACTACATCGTTAGCCAAGAGGTCACAAATGAGATTGCTGAACAAGGAGTCCCGGATTTAATTTTCGGGTCAAAATAAATATTCTTGAGGTTTTTCAGAGCTTAGATGTGCCCAGTCTATGGCAATAGGCTCACCCCCTATTACTCGGAACTCATAACTTAGCAGGTAGTGGATTTTACACTGTATGGTGTGCACTTCTGATATACCTATTTGTAT